TCAACATCGGTATTGGCCCGTGTTAGTCATTTCTTAACACATCGGAAATGACTAACAACTGGATAGGAACTGGATCCATTTGTCTTGAAAAGCATAAAGGACGACATCTGTTGTAATTTAGAGCTAGAGAAATTAATTGACTGTAGGTACTCTCTTGCTGGATCAAGCATGAATGCATTTCTTCATTTATTTCTATGTGCTCTGCCTTATTCAGCTCATAAATAAGACATCTCTAAGAACAACGCGTCAGTCTGTCCACAGCTGAACCTCTGGCCATGTAATCTTCATATTTAAACAATGCAAGACACAGGATTAACTATTGAGGCTTTCTAGACGACAAGCATTAAGAAACATCGCTGTGTAAAGCAACACCTGAGCTCCTCACGTGCACAGGATTTAAGCACCTCGAGGGCTCGGATGATACCAACACTTTAACACCGATTCCAAATGAAAAACAGGTTCTTGCTGTTTTGTGTAAATAATTCAAGGGCTTTTCCAAACCCGTGAACTGCAACTGCTATAAACAGTAACGATAAGATGTTTTTCCACAGGGGGTTAATTTTTAGAAAACTTACTATGAAATTGTCAAAAACAATCAGTCTTTTGCGACCAAGCTGATTCATAAGCCCAGATGCTTATTGATTTGAATCTTACTAAGATGGGTTTGAAAATACATATCCATAACGAGGCAACAGACCTCCGCAGGGAGGCATATTTCTCAATAAAGTGATCAGCAGGACAACAGTGCAAAGAACAGCTGCAGTCCTTTGTGTAAAACTGTTACAACTAGCTTTTGTCCAATATGCTGCTGCACTGTACAGAGCCAGCAGGCTGATAAACTGGTGCGCTCAACACAAACACCAAGCCACCCAGATCTTCTGCTAAACAAAACAGGTGCATCTTTTGTGTTACTCCTGGGACTCTAAAGCCACATGAGAAGACAAAACAGTTTGCACATACATGTACCGCTGTCAGTTTTTCCTTGTTTTAATCCAGAGAGCTGAGCTGCTGGTTTAAAGGGGCAATGCAGACAGTTAAACCTCTTTAGAATGGTTTATCATGTAAAAAACACCCGCTCACAGATTACAAGTAGTGCATGTGATACCCAAAACAACAACGCATCTAAAATAAGGGCATAAGATCGTGAGCATGGCTGTAACTGGGGATATTTAAGCTGTGGAAAAGCTACAGTAGGATTAAGTGTGTGTAGAAATGAGCATGCAACAAACAAAAGACCAGGGAAGTGCTCATGATTTAAATGACTAAACAAAAGATGCTTCCACTCTAAAGGTTTAAATTACTGGCGGATGTCTTAGCTCCACCTGCTCCTTACCTTTCATGAGGCACTTCACACTTGAGCTGAAAGTACAGTCTCTCAATCCATGGATGCTCTTCTTTAAGACTTCTTGCAGACCAGTTTAAGTGTCCATTCCTTTATCGCCACGGATATTTGTGGTTAGAAACAAGCTTAGATCAAGAGGAACTGGGCCCAGGTAGACGCATTTTTAACCTTTCAATCCGAGAAAAATGAAAACCATTTTAATCCCGCCTCTCCATGGTGATCGGACGTCCCGCAAACTTCTTTGCGTCTTCAGTTGAAAAAAAAAAAACTGATATTAAAAACATTAAAAACATCCTACCTCAGCCCATTTGAGTTAAAAGATAAACTTTCCAAGCAGATAATTTCACTACAGTATTCTCCTGGATCCAAACTTGCTCAAAGTGCTTTTAGTTGTTTAAATGAGAAGAAGCGACTTCCAGTCGACGTAGACCGCGTTGACCATCCAACAGGCGCAGGACTCCTCGGCAGAGCACGCCGCAGGGTTAGTTAAAGCACTGCCGTGGTTTCTGTCCCCGCGGTGTCCCTCCTCTCATTAGCCTCATCCCTCCTTCTACTACGGTGGCTGTAAACACTTCCGTCAAGTTCCACACCGGTACAGCAAGGAACTTCCCGTTCAAACTTTCAAAATAAAGGTCAGACCATACACACACCAGCACAAAAAGAAAAAAACAGATTTCTAGCTAAACTCTAATTACAGCTAAGCTTTTAAACACAGCTATTTCAGTCATAACTATTAAGTGATTACTACTTTTTGTTATTTTTGTCATTTTCGTGGCTGGGCATTTTTAGCTACTTAACTAAAGTAAATAAAGAAACTATTTACAGTTTGAGAATTTTAGCTGCTGACCCCATTATTCTTAGCATGATGACCAGTACAGTACCTTAAGAAATGCACCAATCAATCAGTTTGTCCTTGATGGTGATAGGAAGATCAAATAGTTGCAATATATATATATATATATATATATATATATATATATATATATATATATATATATATATATATATATATATATATTTTTTTTTTTTTTTTCCCCCAAATTAATTAAATGCAAATAACTGTTGCTTTTTGAGAATTTGCAATAGACAATGACAATACAACAATATTAGATTATCATAAATTAACACATTAACTGTCTGTTCGAAGTGAGATAAAAAGATATAATCTATAACATGTTTGCTTTGTTTTTCCACAGCAGGCTATCGTTTCCCTTTTTGTTTTAGCTTAATAACCTGATAGCTGAATGATTTTGTTCTTGTTAACCTTTCAAACTGAATACTGTTTAAACAACCTAACTTACTCTCATTCTTATGTAAAAAAAAAAAAACATGGTAGTTGACATAAAATAATATCTGATTATTGAAATTCTATTGTAAAATGTTCTTTGGCCCTAATGCTCTAGAAATTTTTTATTTATAGGCTCTTTTTTACAGAGGCGAACTGGGGTAAAATTATAGGGTGTTTTCACTGTGAAAATAAATGTGATTTTTTTTTTAAATCAGATTTACTTACTTAGCAACGTCTAATTTTCATTTATGAAATAAAAGTCAATAGCGCATGAAACAAGCTTACGGCAAAATTAAGAGGACATTCTCTAAATCAAAACCATGTTCCTAATAAGAGCACAAAATACACTTTTTTTTCTGAACGACGATAGAATGCTTTAATTTTGAAAGAACAAACATTTACTTCCGTTAATGATCTCTCAGTCTCTGTAACTTGCCGAAGCTGGCAATTTAGCGCCTCAAACAAAAGCGCCTTTCGGTGGGAAATACTAGTGACTGTAACAAAAGGAAAACACGCAGCCGTCTGACACGTTTCCTACAGCTTACAGCAAATGCAAACATACCCTCCACCCCCAGGGTCCATAAACACTATCAATGAAACATTACACAAGTACAGATAAATTATATTGTCAAAGCTTCCTGTAACTAAGGCTTTCTTTAAAAAAAAAATAATATTACATAATTTTTATTATCGTCTTTACGGTCGTAATAGTATTAGCATACTTTTCAAAAACCTAAGTTGCTAAAGTAAGTACATTTTCTATTAAATGTATATTTCTGATACATATCTAACTTGTCCAGTCAATTTTGAGCAAACTGTTAGCTCTGAATTAGAACCGGTGAACCTAGCAAGACGTATTCGGCCTCTGCTATTCTGAAATACACGGAAATGCAAAAATGGTTGGATTATGGCTCTTGTCTTGTATTTCATTCTATTTTTACATAGCTAGTAGATAAATGTTATGGCTAATCTCGCACTTTAGTTTCAAACATCGTTCTATAATTTTGTTTTCCGTGACCCAAAGCAATGCATTCACAAACGTTTTCCATGATCTTACCTTAAAATCACTTCTGCAGCTCTGCCATGACAAGATGGTAAAGTTAGTCATTGAAATATAAATAAACGCACATTGGGGCGTTGTACGTTACATTTAAAATTGGCCAATCAGGAGCCGGAAATAGCACCACAAGGTGGCGGTAATTTGCCACAAACCAACCCCCACCGTCCCCCTGGAACGACATGATAATAACGTTAATAACATAATAATAATGTTAATATAATAATTATAATACTATTATTATTCTAACAACTGTTATAACATTACGTTATAACAACGTTATTGTAGTAATAATGTTAACGTTATAATAACGTTAATTATAACGTTATTATGTTTATCATTATATTTTTAATAATTATAAACATAACATTATGAATAATAATGATTAATATAATCATAATTATTATTGTTATTACTATTACTAGTGTGTGTTTGTGGCATATTACAGCCACTTAGTGTTATTACTTACAGCTAGTAAGAAATTACAGAAATAGGCAATAAAAAGACAAAGTGAGAAACACAGTCTATAAATAAATATATTAAACAAAAAAAAAAGGCTCAGATTTTGTATGGCTGGTAATAATAGGTAAGACTACTGTAATATAGCTGCAACATATGGTGCATAAAAATGCAGTAGAGTGCAGATGATTTCTTAGGCAATATGGTTATTGCTTTCCTAAGAAACGCAGTAGTCAATGAAAAGAAAAAAAAAACAGTCTTTCTGCTGGAAAAAAGTTCCTGATCTGATTTACGGAGAATAATCCGATCTGACTAATATCAGGTACAGTGCGGTTGGTAACTGATCGAGGGGTGGCAATTAAAACAGGGAAGCATCCTTGAATTATCCCTTTGGAGAGCAGCAGGTAGCCTTGCATCTGACGGGATTACAGAAGGCCAACCTTTACCAGCAACATCTTTCCATGATTTTGATGTCCTGCTGTGCAAAATGGGGTCGGCTTTTCATCAGGTTGCTTCAAAATTGCAGATATTTATAGGTTGATAGCCGAGATCAGAAAGGGGAAAGGCTCGTAATTGCTTTAGTAGTGCCCCGTTTGATAATGCTGACTCAGAGGGACCAGGTGCACCATATGGAGATCAAAGGATCGGAATTAATCACATGAAATCCTCCAAGAAAAAAAAAACAAATCTGGAAAGTAGTCAGGCTTTAGCTGATAAATAGTAAGGATCATGGTGCGGGAAACTATTTTCTTGATCTTATGTATACATAAGTAAATTACAGGCCAAACTGTTGCATTGGGGATAACATGATTAATCACTTCTACTTCTAAAAGCTGGAAATTTGACACTCAAAGTTTGAGAACAATGATTTTATTTTACAGTTAATTATTATTTACTACAAGGATAAACCACTTGAATCACAAAAAAGGCATTAAGCGAATGAATTGTTGAAAGATCATTTTCATAATTTATTAAAATAAACACATTCACAAACTAACTAGAAATTGAAATCTACACAAAGAACACCGATTTCCAAAAAGTGATTAAGCTATAAGCTGTTATTAGCTATTTTAAATTCAGTACAAGCGATACATGAATGGATGCGAATGAAGAAAGACTGCCGCTGAGGTTTTAGTGTGGTTCAGTCATCAAAGTCTGGGATGTCATCATAGGAGTACCCAGGATAGCCCTTTGATGCATAGTAAGCTATCCGTAAGTGGTAAATCCCAGGCAGGAAAACTATGATGCCGATGATCAGCACAGGCACCGTTCGGTCGGAGTTCTGAAACATGAAGCAACGTTTTATTAAGCAATATTAACATAACACCGCACACAAACATAAGACAAAAAAAGGTCTACTTTTAGAAAAAACTCACGGTAACTCCAAAGTATCCGGCCAAAAGAAGAGCACCGATGATGATTAAAGTAGAGCCGATGAGAAAGAGCACTGATGCGAGGGCAATCGCTTTGTATGGGACCTTGGGTGGGCTCCGTTTGAACTGCAGAGGAAGATAAATTAGCAATCAAAATCTTTTCTGAAACACAAAAGTTGTCCAAGTTTCAGACAACATCCCGAGTGAGATAGTTATTGCCTAAAATATGAACTAGCTTAAAAGGCAACAGCTGCACAAAGTATAGAAAGAATCTTTCAAGGTTTTAACTCTGTTGAGGCCATATGTTTGCTACCATTATGACAATAACCAAACTAACAGGGTGAAGTTTTAGAGAATTAGTCTCACAAAATACTAATATCATGGGTTATTACAAAATCGAGGCTCCATGCACTGCTCTGACAGATTTAACATTCAACCCAAGCAGAACAACACACATATGAATAAGAAATTTTAAAACTAACTCATGTCATTTGAAATAAAGAAGGGGTTTTGGTGAGTTTGGACATTTCTGGACAATACAGTGTTTTCTATGAATATATTTTTGTGGGTTGTTATTTACTGCATAAATGTCAATGTGTCAAACAGACTTACCAATCTTCCAGCAACTGAATAAGCTATACCATCATTCCAGCCAAAATGAAAGTTTTTGAAAAAGGTAGTATCCCCTTCAGAGGTTTTAATACCACCATCTAATGTCTGTGTGTGAGTTGACACTGTGTGCAGTAAATCTCAAACATCCATCCATCATATATTTGCTTATCGTTGTAGGGTCACAGGCAGAAAATGACTGCTGGAAATCAAGTTTTTTTTTTGTTATTTTATTTATACCCTTAATGAACCAAGAATTGAAAGCAAACATTTATTTTAGAAAAGGGACCCAAGTAGCCATGCAAATAAAAAATGTATTTAATAATACACAATTATAAACAATAAAACAGAATGACATTTAAAAAAAAAAAATCAAACACAGTGACCTCTTGAGAAAAACAACAGCATTTCTCCTTCAGTTCATTTTTTAATGATACTCTTGAAATCATGAATGGAGTACTTAGTTCATTATTAATATTTAACTTGACGTAAACAAGTTAAATATTAATGGGAACGCAGATGTGCATTCTGTCAACATAGTGAAACGTGTGCACTACTGGATAATATCGTTAAAGACTGCAAGTGATTTTTTTTTTCTTTTTGCCTCAGTACTGGTTTGTTCCAGATCTGCTCTTTTATATCAAAGTCATTAGACTATGTTGATTGAATAAAGCAATTTAAAAGGCAGACATTCAACTTTAATGACTGAGGAGGACTGATCAGCAGCATTAAAGTAGCAAATGTGACCTAGTCACTTCTTACCTGTAAATCAATGTAGCCGTCATCATCTGTGGCTAACCTGGAGTACTTAACTTTGCTGTTAGGAGTATCGTGGGATACAATATTACGAGCTGGCATTTTCGTCTGCTTTTCGGGATCTTGCCACAGTTTACTCTCGGCGTTCTTGAGGCAAACAAGCTACAATACCATTAACAGAGCGGCAGCCATGTTTTTTATGTTTACCTCACAAGCTACAATAGTTAAAGCAAAGACAAATTCAATATTCTACAGTTAAGACAGAGTGACTAGCAACGCGTTCTGTAGCAACATCGAGGTGTTGTTGAGAACCTGAGTCTTCCGTGTCGACGGCTTACAGATCTGCGGATATGCGCAC